TCCTCCATCTGAGAACGGAATTGAAGTAAAGTTCACGGAACTGCAGTTGTACGTACCAGAGCCACTGGGTATTCCCCAGCGTCATCCCAGTTATGCTGTAAATCTTGTCATTAGAGTGCTTGGAAATAATAAGGAATGAGGTACATACCTCGTAACCAATGACTCTTACAGTTGAAAGACCGTTGATATTGAGGAGCGTGCGCAGTGCGGCGCCAATTAGAGCTTCAACAGCGGGCGACATTGTGCAGGTGGGGTATGTAGGGTTGTTATTCTGGGGTTCATTCTGAAAGACTGAGGCCAACTCGAATTCGAAGATAAATATCGATCACCATACCTGAATAGATATTGCATATATGGCGATACCTTGACTTTGGAAACCTTGTACGGCTTTGAGAAGGTACGTAGGATCTGTAAAGCAGATAAGAGATAGAATGCGGTAGCGGATGATAAGTTCTTACAAGCAGGGACGTATTTTGACTGTAAGGATCCGCCATTCATACTCCCACTATCCTTCATCCAACCTGGCTAGAAAGAAGTGAGTCAATGTCGAGGGAAGAGCTGGTGCACTTACTGGGGACCATGGGATAATGTGGACTTTCAGATTAGAATTGATCCCCCGAATATCCTTGAGAACGGAAAAAACATAGGATGGGACCTTGTTGATATTGAAGTTGCTGAAAGATGTATCACCGCTGCTGTCATCTAGACTATAAACTAAAATTCTATGATCAGCGTCAGAGGGAGCTTGAGGCTTCGATTGACTCACGGTTCGCAGAAAAATCAGAAGCTCCGACTGTAACACGAATATAATTGAGACCAGCGGCGTTAGCGGCATACGTTGGGGAGAACATATGATTCAGCAACGTCCAGTAATTTTGAGAGTTGGTTGACTAAAGGAAGCTATGAGAGCGATCAAATAGGTATGTGGTTCCGTCGACCTTCAAGTTGTTCAAAACGAGAGCAGATGAGTCGGCTGTGAAATGGGGATTGGATAAAGTAGTCGATGTAGCACAACGGTTGATCGACTTACTGAGGGAGCCTCCAAAACCGGCAATAGTCTGAAATTTAATTGCATCGTTGAGGATGATATCCGCGCTGCCAATCGGACCTGGCATGACGAAGTTGATGGGGGAAGTAGGAGACAAAGAGCTGAAGAGCTTTGAACGATCCCATGTTGTTTGCCACTATCAGATCAGAAGCGTGTATGTGCAGCGAAGGAAAATTGAGGAGCGACACTCACAATATCCCAAATTTGCTGAGAAGCCGCGGAGCCAGCTAAGGCAAGAGCTACGAGGATGGGGAAAGTCTGCATGATGCGATTGATAGAAAGGAAGCCCACACCTAATGCTTTTATATTTTCGTTGGACTGTTTTTTGGCGCGTTGAAAAGGCGTTGCATACACACAGGGTCGTCATGCGGATAGCACCACGTGCAATACCATATGGCGACCTCCCTCAGCGGCAATGGCATCATTGGTGAATGACGGTTGATCAACCCACCAACCATTATTGCGACGCTGGTCACATTCCACTGTCCATCCGGATTTGCGTCCCTTATGCGAATCTATAGGTCAACCTTTGAGAAGTATGGCGAGGCGCTAAGTTTACGTGAGAGCTGTAGTTAATGTTTGCGAACCGCGATCCATCGGTTAAGAACATGTCGTCTACCAGAGTGTCCCCGTTGATGATACTGATACGTAGAGCGTGATGAATCTCCTTTATGTCGAACTTGTCATCGGTATGATGGCGGCTTGAACTTCAACGAGGAACACGGGTTTAATGAGGGAGAAGAATGAACGACGAAGAAAACTTCGATATCTGATGCTGGTAGCTCACCTGCTCATCATCTAGAAAGTATACCGGGGGACCTGATGGTCCAATTCGATCAGGTGCCACAAACTTTTCAGTCAAACGGAGCGGACCTAAGTTGACGGACTCAAGCTCGAGAAAGCGTACTTAACTGGAGTTCCTCGGTCAAGAAACCACTCGGCGACACTGTTTGTCCAGAATGGGCGCGCAGCATACTTTTGGCCACCTGCAACTGGATTCTCCTGGACTAGTTGTTCTTCGAGATCTCCAGAATTCTTGACGGAGACATCTCGTAACAGGTGAAATTTGCTTTATCGGAATCCAAGTACATAGACCGCGAGGTAGTACTTTCGTATCCTCATATATTCGTTCGTGAAGAGAAACCAGAGAGAAGCAACACACCGGAGAAACCCGTTGTCATTTGTAGTTATTATCGGCGTTGTCGGATCAATTCTCGATTTTTTTTACGATTTTGCCTTGCACCTCGTGTGTTAACTTTTCAAATGATTCAAAATTTCTATAGTACTTATGTGCAATGAATGGATGAGAGGTACAGTGAAAATGAATAATGTAAGTTGATACATATCTACATGTTGTGATGCCAATGGAACAAGAAAGAGGAGACAATAATAGCTACAATGATTTGCCAAGATGTGTTCGAAGAGACGACGTCGAAGAGTAAGGAAAAAAACGGCAGAGAGAGTGGAAGAAAGAGAACAAATATTAACCCAGAACGACAGCAGATATCACGATCGTCTTCCAATGTGGCGATCTTCCTCATGGTTCACCTCTATCCGATCCCAATCGTCCGGGCTAAAGTAGAGATTAGGATGGTTGAACTGATGTTGATGTGCCTCCCAACCAGGGGCTTCGTACCATGCCGGGATTGGTGCTGACGCCGTCGCGTTAGCGGCTGATGAAGTTTGTCGATGCGAAGTTTCGTCATACTTATAATCGCCAGCCCAACCAGACAAGGTGGAAAATGACGAAGCGGGGAGCGGAGCGGATGGGGAGGTGTAGAAGTAATTTGAGGGGTCTGTCGACACAGGTGGCGGGAGAGGGGACGAGTGAGGGACGTCGGTCTCGGAATGCATATGAGGATCTTGTATGACGGCGACGAGGCCTTGACGATTGGGGTTTGTTGACCAGGTGACGAGCTCGCTGCCATCGTTTGGGGGTTCGAGAGACGCACCGTATTGCTGAGTGAACAAAATTCAAGGTCAGCTGTCAAAAAGACAAGAAGCAAGGCACAGCGGCGCACCTCGTTGAACTGATGATCGAACTGTCCGACAGAATCTTCATATCCCATCCCATCAGACGTGACGATCATCGGCCGCTCACAGCCCGAGTCAGCGATCTGGTCCTCCAAACCCGACGATGGCCACCAATACTCGCCCTCTTGGGATAACTCACTCCTTCGACGCGCTTCTTCATCCTCCCACTGGAGATGCCGAGGGACGTAGGATGCTTGTGGCGTAAAGGGAGTGCAGAGGAGTGGGAATGAGGCGGCGGTATTTCCTGTGGTCGTACTTTGAGAGTGGGGATGGCGACGCGATGATGGTGTGCCTGGTGTACCAATCCTGCTGGCTTCCCAGTCTCCTGGCGACGCGGTGTCAGATGGAAGAGTGATTGTAGATTCAGGGAGTGTTAAGCGCGGGTTGCTTGACGGAAGGGAGAGAGAGCGTTTGAACATGTGAGTTAGCGGGACTGCGGAGAGCCCGACGGGAAGGGGGGAAGAGTCGTCGGATTGGATTTGAGTAGAGGTAGAGTCTGGCTGAGAAACATCTTGCATTGGAGTTGTCTCGATGACCGGAGGGATAGAATCGACGGCAGGGATTGTCGTCTTTCGAGAGCGGCGGGGTCTGGTGGACGAGGATGAAGGCAAGAGCGC